TGTTTATCACTTGATTGTCCTTTTGATGCTTTAGGAATTTCTACAAGTTCACCTTCTGGCCTCTCAGGTGGTTCTGGGGGAGTATACCCTTCAGGATCATCACCCTTTAAATCAATTGGAGGCTCAGATGGTTTCGACTTGTGTCCTTTCCAAAATGGATCAAAACCCTTGGATGTATACCGAAACTTTGGCGGCACAGGCTTTTCCGCGGCACTGGATGGTGCACCTTCCTTCTCTGATGAGAAGCCTGGTTCCCTGTCCTTTGCAATGGGAACCTTCTCTGCGGAGGAGCGCACCACTGCATCGGGATCACCAATGCCGCGGTGCTCAATGCCAGCCTTCCTGATCTTTAGATCTGGAATTTTGGCATCTGGCTTGAACTTAAAAATTGTTCTACCACGCCATTCATAGCCAATTTGTAGGTCCTTCCATTTTGCCTTGCGCCAATCATCTGTCTTCTTGATCTCTTCTCCACCTTCTTTCTTCTTGATGATTGTCAATCGCAAGTCTTCCAGCAAGTCAGTGTCTACAGGACATGACTTAGTTGCTGGGAAAAGAATCTTCCTGTAATCCTTGTGGTGACGTGTCAGTTCTCTCTTGTGAAGATCTACTTCCCAGTAGTCAACCACAGGATATGCATGCTCAGCTTCATCTTCATCACTATTGTGATCAACAGAAATATGGCCATATTCATAGTGAGTGAAGTGAGAGTAAAAGCTCTTCTCGCGCCGAGCCTGCAAACGCACGTCAGACAGATACCATGCAATATCTTGGAAGTCCAAAACAAGATGAGTACTGGCTGCAACCTTCAACTCCAAAAATTTGATACCAAGAGGCACCGATGTCAGGTAAGCATGTTGAGGTGTCAGCCTGAGTTCAAAGCCTAAGTTCCTCATCTGTGGCAAGCTCATAAGCAAAGGGACTTCTCCTTCTTCAACTATGTCAAACTCTGTATGGTGGATCGTCCATGCACGATCATACATGTAAATCACCAGTTTCTGAGAGCAAGAAGCCTTCTGAGAATTGGCAAAGTAAAACTTGCCCTTGGTAGACTCAAAAGAGTACCATAGTCCACAGTCTGGATGATTGTCGACATAGTTACAAAAATAATCGACTGCACGCCTTGATCCCATAGCTCTAGTGCATCCAATGTCCAGGATTGCAATAGTTGGCGGGAAGCGATTTTCAGTCAAAAATGAAATAGCCTGCATCTCTTTCACTTCTTCCTCAGCGCTCATAAGCGCAAAGCCATCAGGAGCATCTGTGAGCATCTCCTCTGACAAAGAGTACCTCACAGGGGCACTCATGCCATCGAAGATCGTCTCACCATTGTTGACATTACAGTCAGCTTCATCTTGACATGAGGTCATCATGCCTGACAGCAAGTTCACCTCACTGTCATGGACTTCAGCTACCGTTGTCACACAATGCGCCAAGAAACCTTGGTTGCTTCCTGATGCTTGTGAAGTTCTTGAAGGTGCAGGTAAAGAACGTGGCTGTTGTTGATTTGCATAGTTTGCATCTTGTTTGCCATCTCCTTTATCTTTTCCTTTTCCTTTCTTGCCTTTTCTCTTGCCTTTTCCCTTTCCTTTGTGGGAAAACCATGCTTCTTCAAGTTGTTGCCAAAAGTCATTGGCATCTTCATGTTCTCCTTGAAGATAGTCATTCATATCTTCGGCAATGATAGCATCATATGCTACTTGATTTGACTCCCAAGTGTCCTCATAAGGATTCTCTTCATAATACTCTTCTGGATAAGTTGTCGATTGCTCATCAGCATAATGGCCTTTACCTCGTCTCTTTCCTTTTCCTTTTCCTCGAGGTCTGAAAAATCTGCGGCCTGATCTTCCTTTTCCTTTTCCTTTTCTTCTTCCTTTTCCTTTGCCTTTTCTGGCTCTTCTTCCTTGGAATCTCCTCTGGAACCAAGAGAAATTCTGTTCATCATATACCCAAAAGACATCGTCCAGGGCATCTAGGAATCCTTCTGTTCCATCTTCTTCATCTTCGGCCCAATAGCCATATGTACCATCGAGTTCTCCTTCTTCCATCACGAGGAATGATCTTCTACCTCCAGCACCTGTCGGCTGCATCAAAGGATTGTCTACTGAAGTCTTTGTCGTGCAGAACATCTCAATGAAAACTGTCCTCAGCTCAGTTGTGGTGTATTGCTGCAGGACCCTGCCACGATGAGTCATCAAAGAAGTCAAAGTGTTTCGCTGGTCCTGAGACAAATCTGCAAGTGACAGCATGAGTAAGGCAATCAGATTTTCTCCTAAAGGAAAATCGTTCTGATGAAGAATTCTCATATTGCCATTGACATTCTGCATGATTTCCTGAATTCTCTCTGCTGTTGGAGCTACTCCAGTCACCGCTGCATCAGCTTGCATTTGAGCTTGTACCTGTGGGTGTACTTGTGTTACTGGATCCAACATGTCCATCCAACTGCTCATAAGCCTTTGGAGTAAAATCTGAAATCTTGTCATCCACTTCATCATGTCGGCTGATCCTCGATTGAATCGCACGAATTGCATAAACCTGTATAGGAATACATTGGTTGATCCTTTCACAAAATATGGTCGTAGTACTCTCTTGAAATAATCTACTCCAGCTCCTGGTGGCTCATTAGCCTTCAATGCATCTCTGTCTAAAACTCGCTTGTATACAGCTGCTTCTCCTTCTAGTCGGTTTCTCAATGCTGGTCCTCTCTTCTCATCCTCCAGCTCGGTGATATCACACCAATCGTCTATGGCATCCTCATAGGAAAACCATGAAGTCTTTCCATCATAAGATGGGGGCACCTTTGTAGTGACCTGTGTTGTCATAGCTATCGCTGCTGGTTCTCTTCTCACATGCCTATTCACGTAGGCTGCTGGCTCATAAGCCACATCCGCATCAGGCTCTTCCCAGTCGTCAATCCAATCCATGGCCGTTTGCCCACAAGCAATTCTATGCCTAGGAAAGGAGCTCACCTGGGTCTTCCAGGATCACTGCTCCGCTACCACTGAAAGAGTGACTAGGGCGTACACGGTAGAGGTGCAGACCGCTAGTGTCTTTTGCTCACGCAGAGTCTTATCCTATATCCCTTGAGCCTTGTGGCAGTCAAGCATGGACACACTAGATAGGCCACTGGAGTGGAACCTGTACAAGTAGGCCTCTACATTTCAGGGGGCCCCCCCTCGGCCCTTAAAAGTAAATGTCGGAGGCGATTTCTCAGTGAGATGGGTGTCCAGTCTGGTTATAAGAAATTGTTGCTAAAGCAAAAGGAAAACTCAGGTAGCGTAACCGCTACCTTTCGTGATTAAAACGCTATCAACATCTTAACTTTTTCAAGCTCACCAAGGGGGTACTCCTCACAGAGGCCCCTATTGATCAATCCCAGCTGCACCAGAAAAACTATAGTATACTTTGTATTTGTAATTATTTATTGTTTTCTTTTTTGCTAGTATTCAATATCTTCATCTCCTCATCTTCCTGATTCTCACCACCCATTCCATCTTCCTCATCAGTTCACATCCTATCCCATAAGCTCCCTTAGAAAAACAACCCATGGATCATCATGGATCAATCTAAATAATACTAATTCCCTTTCATCTCAATTCTTCCAAATACTAATTCCCTTTCATCTCAATTCTTCCAAATACTCATTCCCTTTCATCCCAACTCTTCCAAATACTCATTCCCTTTCATCTCAATTCTTCCAAATACT